TTACATCCTCTCAGACGTCAACAGGGGGGTTTTGGCACCTGTTTCTAAAACTCGCCAAAACAAAACTCTCTCTGTCTGTGAGAACAGTTTAATCTGTTCAATAACATTCTTGCTGTTTTTTCTGACTCCTAGTAACCTCTTACGTCACAAAACACACCCCTGTCTGGTCGATACTGACCAATGGGAAGACTCCCGAATGAACCGGGAAAAGAGCTCTTTAAAATGTCGGTACTTCCTGGTTTACCCAGTTCTGTGGGTTTGGAGAAGTTCGGCGGTGCGGACAGTTCTGATATGTCCTAGTGCTGGCAGTTGCTGTGGGAGCCGGGAAGACCCTGACATGACCACAGAGCTCTTCCGAGTTTCATGGGATTATAACATTTTCCACTGAGGTGAGCTTGTGTCGGACAGAATCTCGCCATTACTCCGGACGATTCACAGCCATCCTACGGAGACGCTGAAAGGGTGCGTTAAACGGAATCTCGCCTGAGACATCTCCAGGTAAAAGAGTCGATTTCACCACCTAAGTGTACTGTAAGGAAGAAGCTGAAGAAAGCCCGGAGAGTGCCGTTCTGTTCAACACTCTCCCTCAAACACCATCTTTCACCCCCTTTAAACTTCATCTTTTCATCTTTAAATTCTTCTCTAAAGTAGAAATCCTTCCAGATAATTTAGAAATGTCTGTGTAAAGTGCTCATCCACATCCGTGTGGATAATCGATCATAATTGTACAGTTTTCATAAATGTCTGTGGTGAAGCAACGGAAAATCATGGCCGTATGGTTTTCCTGATTGATAAATGACGTCTCACGTTTGCATTTCATTAAATTCAATGCACGTTTTATTCAGTCCAGAAAAATGAGGAATCCGTGTTAATTGATGAATATATCTGAGCATCTGTTCATCTACATAATGCTCTGTTCCAATTTTTTGCTCAGATCTGATTTTTTTTGGTGCGGTCGTTCTCATCATCATTAAAATGCCAGCAGACTCCGGTGTGACCCGTGCACAGTTCTGAGGCAAAGTGCACGCGCAGAAGATGTGACGTCACACGCAGCAGGCCGTGTGTGAGGAAGTAAACATGGACACTACGCATGTTGACATGTGACATTCTGAAGTTGTTGTGCAATCAGAACTGATTAAATGATCTGACAGGCTTGTTTGGTCCAGTGTTCACAGGTAATCTGGCCTCTTGACGGCTCCTCCGGGGCAGCGTTGTTTTTCTGGAGCAGGAGCAATGAACCAAAGGTAAAAGCAAATTCAGGTATCGTTGGCATCGGCACAGTCCGACACCGTTAGTATCCTACGTTGCTGTAGATTCTCAGTCGTCCAGGACATGGGAAGTTGAAAGAACAAAAACAAAGCAACTGGCCTTTTGTTCTGTAGCTGAAGACGTGCAGAATTCCAGGATTTAAGCTGCAAGAGGTCGGTTTCATTATTAGTAAAACATGGACCGATCCGCACCCCATCCGTCAGTGACGTAAGTTGGATAAAAAGAGACGGTTCAGACCGCAGTCACTTTGACAAACATCTGATTCAGAGCCACATATGAAAAAGACTTGGGTCATATTTGAAAACAATAAATAAAACTGAACTTCAGCAGCATTTGTCTGTAGTGTGAAAGTAGCCCCCCCCCCACTCCCCGGGGGGGCTGAGGGGGGCTAACTCTCCCAATATTTGGAAACTCCTGATATAGGTGTCATAGTTTGACATGTCAAACAGATGTCATCTGTATGATCGACGTGTCCAACAATCATACATGGGCTGATTAGCATGTGTGGTTGTTATGGCGACAACTCACCTGTCACCTGTTTGTCAGGCAGAGAGGGTATGGGCAGCAGCGAGCCGAACTTCTCCAGCAGACGCTCATACAACCAATCAAAGTGCTTGTAGCGATGATTGACAGTTCTGTTGGTGGTCTAAAGGATATGTATCGTCAGTTAGTGATAAAAATAACTACAAACATTATCTACAGTATTACGGGGAATTAAATCAAGTACTATACAGTACTAACAAGATCCCTTGAGTATCCCAGAGTATTGCAGAAAGTACTACAATGTTTTTCAGAAATCATTTGTACACCGGAAAGTATCACTGAAAGTACCACTGAGTACAGCCTTACGTTCGGTGTGATCTGGTACTCTATGAAGCTCTTGAGTCCGTATAATTTGGACTCTTTCTTTGGATCGGCAATGATGCAGTCCAGAGGAGAGGTCGAATACAGCCAGACTGGACCCACCTCTCCCATCTGAATGGACAAAAACAGAGCCAGTAAGAGAGCAGAGACACTGATCGGTACCAGTGATCCACCAGAGAGAAAAGAGATACACCACCCTGATGACTCACATAAACAGGAAGTCTGTCTCTGCTGTTAGCAGGAGGTTTGGACAACAGAAAGACTTCTGGACTTGGACCTTTGGAGAACGGGAACCTGAGAACACAACACAAAACTGAGATGTACTACAGG